GGGGTGAAGAATAAAACAGAATTCCCCAAAATGTGCAAAATAATGAAGCTCAGAGAAAAGATACATTACATTTCCCATCCTCCTAGAATGAAACAAGGCACCTATTTAATTACATTGTTAAAAGAAAACATACTTCCAACACCAACTGATGCCGCAGAACATGGGATACATACAATGCAGTATTCCTTGACTAGAAATTAAATTCAAACAAGTATTAGACACTGGCATGTTGAGAGCTGGTTGACAAAAAATAAATTTCTCCAGGAGGCAGTGAGTTCCAGGTGGTTCAGAGGCACTGTTTTCCTAGCAAAGACTGACAGCTCCCATGCAGCTCAGCATGGCCAGGGAACAGGCCACCAGTTCTGTATTGTGGCCACCAACCCTCCCCTGAGTTGAAGCACATCTGTCATGCAGGCCACTTAGTGTGTGGGTCTGCTCTGGTACTCAGCAGGCTGTAAGGCTGCACAAACCCCTGAGCACAGAAGAGAGGCACTGGCAGCCTCCTGCCGTGCTGTTCCCATTGGGATTCTTGCCTGGTTTTAGCTTCTCTTTTGGCTGCAGGATACATTTGGGTTTTGTTTCCATTACACAAAAGAGTGGTGAAAGACAAGAAGCTCCCACTCTTGTGAAGTTCTTTACATACATGAATGGAGCTTTGCTCTCAGATATATGTCCAGAATTAAAATCAATTAATTTTGGCAAATGCCTACGATCAGGCTCTCTGTGGTAAACATCAAAGCTGTCCAAGTGTACAGCCAACCTCTCTCAGTTTTTCCAATGTCATTTAGCTGACTGTTYTCTGGTGTGCTTAGCATATGAATTACATTTCGTCCAGAGAGTTACAGCTGTTTTGGTCAAATACCCAGCCCTGCCTAGGACAAGCCCTTAGGACCTGATGGCTCAGCTCCTTCTCAATCAGGCTGAAGTGCAGCCCTAAAGCCAACTGCCACTCAATTGCAAAGGTTTTGCCCTTTGGCCAACAAGCAGGTAATTATTCCAGGAAAGAGGCTGGTACCAGGCCTCAAAACAAGGTAAGGACAGCCTGGCAGAGAGCAGGAGAAGGGAAAACTCAGAATGCAGTTTCATTCTGCTGTGTTTCCTGCTCCACGAGTCACGATCTTGATTTCCTATCAGCTCCCAAGACCACGTTATGTGTTGTTTTTCCTTCAGTTTTTAAAGAACTCAGCACAAACTGTTGGCTGGATTTGCCAATAGCACTAGAGTGACCTTTATCAGTTGAGGACACCTGCTAGTGCTTTTTATGCTGAAAGCATCTTTCATATCTGCTTTTGCATCATGGCAGAATACAGGCAGATAAGGCTATTATAGGCAAAGAAACAACCCTGAAAGGCTCCTTTCTGACGATTGCCAGATGTGCTATGAAAATTCCACTAAATCAAAGAGAAGTCAAGAAGAAAGATGGCAAACTGAGTCGAGGAAAATGTCACCATTCCTAAAGTCTTCTTCATTTCGTTCTTCCTCCAGATTGCCAAGGCTATCCCTTCACTAGAAGAATCACCTCACACTGAGAAAAAAAACTGAAATAAAGCAAGGTAGGTATTTATCCCCTTTATGACATGACAATGTTTTGGTTCTGGTGGCTCCACAGCATGCTCACTGCCTGAGTAATTGGCCCTAATGCAGACAGCCTTAAAAGCACTGCTTCATTTTGCTCATGGTTTTTCATCTCGGCTGTTTCCACAAATGCTCCAGGCAATTAGAGTGACATGAATAGAGCAACATGCCATCGAATGGGTTGCTCAAGGACAGAKCACAGGAGGACAAACAAAGTCAGTGCAGAAAAGGCTTAGAGACAGAAAAATTAAACAGAGGGCATCTATTTTATGATGGCAGAACTGACGTAGGAASTGTGACATCATCACAAGGAGTATCACAGATAACAGCAAAGGCAATAACTGGACCCAGCATGGCTGTTCCAAGGTTAGAGGTGCTAGAGCTTATCAATTTTTAACTCCTTGRCTCCTACTAACTAACTAAAGTCCTACTAACTTTAACTAAAAGATAACATATTTTATTAAAGTGACTGTTCTATGTTCTGGAGATATCTGGTGGAATACAAGCCTTTCCCCACAAATTCTGCTTCTTTAAATAAACAGGCCTACAAGATCATTACTACTGTTCAAATTAGCATAAAAGGAAATAACAACTTGCCAATATGTATGAATTTATATTTTAAAATGTGGTTTACTAAAAGGAGGTTGCAGTACAGACTTTTTCCTTCATGCTTAGGATAATTTGGACAGAAATAAGAAAAGTAGGTACTCTTCAAAGAAAATCTTATTAWCACATGGATTGCAAAACAAGAAAAAAGTATTTTATATTGCATCTAACTTAACTGGCCACTGAAGATTCTTTTTAATTAAAAAAAAGAGATTGTATGTGTTATAAGATTWCTAGAAAAAGAAACAGAAAGCATTGAAAGTTTCTAAAAAGAAATAGTAAAATCAGCATTTTATTCAAAACAATGGATCTAAGGACAYATCCAGACATAGACTAAACAGTAACATCCAGCTTCGCTCTGCTGAGTCCAAGCCCACCTGCCTGCTTTTTTGTYTCACTCCTAKTGAAAAGTATGTCATATTTCTTTAYTTGCCCCTATCACAAATTTTRAAATGCAAACTCCTTCAGTTRTGCATGCATGCACTCACACACACAAATGCTGCATGTCAGCAGCTCAAGTCTGCAGTGGGAAACAGTCCCTTACAGAACTGATCATTGTGTTCAAGGCTGAGTGGGCCAGAAAGGCCACATTTCTTTCAGATAACCTTTCCCACCTAACAGAAGGCACCATTTGCTGGCTTTCCTCAGCTGGATAGAACATCCAACTCTTCAGGATGTATCAAGAGCTCCTCAAGGTTGTCTGGCACCTTTTAATTATGAGCTGAAAAATGCTGGTTCAGGAGGAGACAGTGATGTATGAGACTCAGTAGTAAAGGATGGTGGAGAAGACAGGAGTGTAACTGCTATAGTCTCAGATTAGAACAAGCCTCAGTCATCCTTTGCTGTGCTGTCAAAGAGGTAGGATTGACATAAAAAGGATCTGTCACAGCTCATTTACTCCATGAGGCTTCCCAAGGGACTACTTTGAAAAYCTTGCTAAAAAGTTCTTGGTAGCAAGTAACACCAATGAAGAGTGATACTTGTCTTGSAAGTGTAGGGCATTTAGCATCGAGAGCAGTCTCTGAACAGCTGAGGACAACAGTCATAGRATAATTCTTATATTCTTCCTTCCTCTGTCTCTTTGCTACTCAAAACCTGGCTCATGCAGGGTTGCTACCAGGCATCTGTACCAAGTCCAGCAAGAAAACGTTTCTGTGGTACTACTTACCATGTTGTTCCAGAGGCCCACAGCCACAAAAATATAATCTTCCAGAATTTCCTCTTGTGTCTTTGAGGTGGTAATCAAACCGTCCTTGCCCTGAAAGAGAAAGTACTTCGAGCATGATAAAATAATTAAGAGTATGGAAAGATGAAATATTCAGTCACAAAAGTTCTCAATCTATAAAATAATATTCATCCCCACAAGAAAATCAATCTTTGGTATTCTTTTTAAGCCTCTTGCCACTGATCTCAGTTACTACCAGTGTGACACAACAGAAAGATGCTGGGTTTGTAAATGATTGTTTTACATCAACAGGGCAAGAAGACAAGAGCAACAACACAGCATGATCACAACAGTGACATACAATAGAACAGGAAGACATATAGATGTGAACACATGAATGMTTTGGAATAAACAACACTTCTTTTAACTAACACATGCATTTAAAGCATGGAAACATGCAGGATTTATCTTAAGAGAGCATTTTGAATTTTAAATTAAATGTAACTGTTGAAAGAGTTTGGAAGTTACACCTGGTGACCTGCAGGCATACCACAAATCAGAAGAAATAAAGAATCCACCTATGACATACGATGGCATTTAAAGAAATAATAGGCAAATTACAGCGAGAAAAAGTAATGTCACGAATGTTAGAAGTCTGCTATTTGTATATGGACCAGCTGTCAACAAAAAAAAAAAAAAGGCTTGGCAAAAGATGACCCCAGCAGCAACAGGATTTTGTAACACAGCAGACACTACCCTTCCTGCAAGAAAAATTTCTTCTCCTAGTTCACTTTGTTCTGATACTGAGCTGAGGTAAGCAATAGAATTACCTCAAATTCATGGAGCTATTATGATGSTCAGAAACCAGATTGTGACTCACCACCAATCTATTTTACAAAATAAATTTTTTGGTATCTCACTCCAAGTGAACCATTCTCTMGAAATTAATAGTATCCCCCTTCAATATCAGACAATCTTAACCTTTTGAACTTGMCTTTAAAGATCACTTACACCAAAACAATGCCCAATATCCTAGGCAATTCCAGCTTCATTCCCTTCTGGCTACACCAGACTATATTAATTCCCAAGTTCCAAGACTCAGTGCAGGAAAATAACTGTACTTTCCAACATGGTTTTCAAACACCTTTATCTTTTGTCCCTTCTAACCCTTTTTAAATACTGCATGCTACACAGTTTTTGCCTTTGTTGTCAAACACATAGGCGTAATCAGGGATCAATACAGTGATGACTCCARACACAGGAAAATCAGCAGCACTGACAGTTTCCAGACACTTGTGACCTTAGGCGCAGATGTGCCAAAGCTCGATTTATCCAGGAGCATAGCACTCAAGAAACACAGGATCTCTGACTGGTGCTGTTTAAATCAAGTTACACTCTCAGGATCTCTGTGTCTGATCCTGAGGTGTGYTCTTCCTGTGTCTGATTACCCTTGCCTTCCAGCATTACACAGCCTAGGACAGGAAAGCCCACTGAATATTACACTCAGTCACAGCAGACACAAACTAGAAATAATGGAGCAGCTTGAGTTTACTCACTGGTCTGAGCAGCAGATTTCTTTCTTGGAGAGAAGGCTGAAGAACAACAGTGAAGTCATCCTTTTGATCAAACCTCTCAGACTCCAGTAGCTTTTCCAAAGCACCCTAAATAGACAACCGTTTAATGAGATAACTATTATCAGGCAGAGAGTGTAATATATGTGCAATTCATCAGGGTTTAGAGTAAACTAAAATTATCCCCATTCCTAATAAACCACAGAAATAAAATTGTGTAATCCAGAACAACAACAGTAATTTACTGAAATCTTGTTACACAACAACTAGAAAATCCTTATAGCTATGAGAAAGATGGTTTACCATCATTTTCTTTGAAAGGCTGGCAATCTTAGCAAGGCAATGAAAGGTTTATTGCCACCCTGGCATGTTTAAAAGAAATTCTAGCGCAACTGTCTTTGTCCTAACAGAAAGTTTCCCTCTTCTAAATCATGGGGCATTTTACTGGAAAAGAAGGATCCATTTACTGATGTGATATGAAAAATTCTAGATTGCCAAAAGTAATACAGACATTTAAAACTTCAAGAGATACTAAGATCATTCAGGTACGGAGAGAACTTATTGCCAATATTCCTGATGTAAGAAATGGCATGAGGGTAGCCATGGATATGTGGTAGAAAGGCTGTTACTCAACTTGCTCACAGCTATTCCTCCCTTATCTCCCTGCTTCAGGCCAATMTGGAAAACGAATAGACATGTCTAGTGATATGAGAGCCAAATAACACAGCATATGCCATACCTGATAGGACCACCTCAGTATGTTATCATCTAATGCAGAGCGTTCACCAACATAATTGCACTGATTTCTGACTGGATTTCTGCAGAAAATAATTAAAAAACAGGAAAGACATTATGAACTTTCAATAAACAATGTAGACAGCATGAATTCTTTCAAGCCACTGACAAGTACATACTAAAGACTAAATTGCTGTATATGCAGAGAAAGTTACATGGAACATGCTAATTTTTTATATAAACATAGAGTGATGCATATTCCCATATCCAGAGCTTTGTATCTCTTCTTGATTTGATAGCCTAGTCAGTTGACAAGTATGCCAGACTTAGATTAGCACAGGATCTCACAAGCTAGCAACATGCTCAAGCTTAAAATAGCAGCAGCACTGTTTTTCRAATATTTCCCTCTCTGTAGTCATACAGAAAAATTGAGCAAACTCAAAATACTTCCACAGGAACTTTTYCTTTAGTAGTTGGCATGAAGACCTGCATCTAGGAATGTGGATGGAATCTGCAGAATGTTGTACACGCTAAAGGATGACTGTCAAATTTCTGACCTGCAAGGTGAGAGGTATATACTGCATATTTTTGCAGCTAGATGGAGAACTCTGTTCTCCAACAGTAGGAGAACAGAGGCTGTAGACAGGATCAATGGAAGATACACATAAAATTAGTCAGGTTTCAGCAGATATACTCCCTTGAAAATTCCTGGCTGGACTGGAATCCGAGAAAGTTTCTGGAGGCTTTGCAGATATAAGCAATAAGTATGTGTCAGAATCCCTTTCATTGAACTCTAGCTAAACCAATAAAGTAAGAGTTTTCTGATAAAGTGCTATTATCACTGCTGGTGAGTGAAACAAACATGAACTCAGGACCAGAGTCTTACCCAAGCCTAACAGAAGAACCTCATAAAATAAATGAAGAGAGTTACACGCCTAAAAGTAGGGTTCATGCATTATTTTTAGTGCAGACACTTCTAGTTAGTAAAGAAGGGAATTTAAAATCCCCGTTAGATCCCAAACTTTAATGCCTAAAGCTAAGTACAGACACAGGATTGAAAATGTCAACCACTCTGACTCCTGACATCTCATTTCATTTACATTTTGATACAGACCTAAATTTTTCTCTCAGAGCACAGTTCAAAATGACAACTTATTAACAAATGCTGGAGATCCTTATCTGGGAAAGGATCTGGCCCCGAGGCTGTCTAACAAACAGAAAAGTACAAGACTTGCAAACTTGTGGGACTGTTCAACCAGATAAACACAGCTGTGAGTGCATGCTGACAATACAAAAGRAATTGCCTTAAGTGCAGAAGGAAATATAAAAATTCCTCAGAGGAAAAACAGTAGATCTATTTAATTTTATTTTTTAAAGTCTTCAATATGTAGCAAAGCCCATATTCCTAAATCCATTTTTTACACCTTTTTTACATTTCCCCCCTACATGTTTGTGAAGGACAAATAAGTTACAGTGCTCCGTTCAGTCGCTTTTGATAAGGAAAGCTTGTCCTCTGCYTGTATTTGTTAAGTACAACCCTACAGAGCAGCCAGACCTCTTCCCCCATTCCATCAGAATGTCTCCAAGGTTGTGTACTTGCAAGGCTTGTGAWACACTTCAGGATGACTATATTTGTACATATGGTGTCCTGTGCCATGAGCACAAGAAAAAAAATTACTGTGGAGTAAGATRGAGTGTAAATCTCACCAGCTGTAAATTACTCCATCGTAACTGCTCATGTGCRCACTCCTACTCCATACTAAATCAGGACACAAACTACTCACACTTTTGTTAMAAAGTACTGAGAAAGACAGATAAATACATGCAGTTACCATACGGAACTGACAACTTGGATATTCTCTACCCTAGCATATCCTAAGCCCAAGTAGTATCTTTCCAAAAACTTAATAATATCCTTGAAAGTCAGTTACTCATTTTGTGAACATCGATACATAAAAACTTMAACTTTGAAGTTCCTACAGAGCTTTTGACTTGAGAGTTGCACAACAGAAGTAGCACTGAATAAAAAACAGGAGCAGCAAGACTGTGCAGTCTTGTGACCCTAATCTCAGTGCTGGGTCTGGCAGGGATGGAGTTAACCTTCTTCACAGCAGCTCATATGGTGCTGTGTTTTGGATTTGTGGCTAAAACTGTTGACAGCAAACCAGTGCTTTGGCTCTTGGTGAACATGGAAAGAAAGCATTAAGGCTTTCTCTTTTTCTCTCACTCCAACCCAATATTTAAATGTGCTATCCAAATTGACAGTATTAGAAGCACCTATTCTTCCTAGTAAAAATATATCTTTCAGAGAGAGTTTATCAAAGTGAACACTTAAAATCTTTCACATGCTTTTGTATTAAGGGCAGAAAAACTGTTCAGAAGCTTGGAGCTCCATTATAAAGTCAATGCATACACACAGCTGTTTGTTGAATACCAGGAGACAGTGACAAGAAGTTAAAGAAAACTGTTACCTGGCATTACTGTGATCTGGGCATGCAAGAGAGGCAGTTGTGAGCTCAGTGGAATCCACTAGATTTACAAAGGCCYTGGGAACCTGCGGTAATAAAGCAAAAGTTATTAATGCTAGATTTGCAATTAAAGATCAGCAAGCAGCAATTACAGTAAATTACATCTACAACTTCACATGTATTACCTCTGGCCTGGGATTCTGCCTACATAAAATCAATTATCTYAATCTTTGCCAATTCTGTTCTGAACTCTGCTCTTATGCCTGCTATCTAGGATCATCATTTATGAAGCACTTGTGACCATGATTTCTTTTCTGAGACACAGCAATCCATTTTACRTAACCGAAATGGACACCAGCCAACTAAACTGAACTCAAATGAACTTGGAACTGCCATTTTTTTGGAACATAGCAATGCAAAGCTGGGGACGAAACACCCTGTATAACAGCACAAGTATTCATGCAACCCACTACACCTCTCCCAATGCAGTTTCTGCTTTTGCAGAAAGCAGTTTTTCATTTACATAATGATATTTCACTTGAACAGATTCTGGAAATAATAGTGGAGAGAATCTGAAGAGAACGTGTGGGTGGAACTTCCCCCGTACACAACATTTGTTGAAGTCAGATGGAGAAAAACGAGTGGTTGTGCCCTGATGCAATTAAAGTGTAGCAGGTTTAAAATGTGCTGAAGGCCTTCAATGCAGCAAAACAAAATTATTGGAARATGCTATTGAAATAATTCAGATAAACAGCTTATAGTCTGCTTTAGTAGTAATCTATCCTCATCTAGTCTACTATTCATTAGTAGACCAAGAAACAGCACAGAACGTTTCCCAGAAACCATCCTAAATAAGCAGATAATTCTTAGCTCAGCCAGCTAGAAAACCTTTAGAAAGGCTGAGATCTTAAAATGAGCACAAAATAAGAAAAAAGGATCTATTACACACATTTTAATATATGTTTTCTCTGGTCTGTAAAAGTCATCATCAGGTAGTTAGCAGCYTGTACCCTGCCTAGGTGTTCCACACCAGCAATTAGGTACCAGTTATTTTCACTAACAGCCCTAATAAACATGACTTTTAGATCTAGACAGATGTGCTCCAATTTTCACAGAAATCACTTAAAAACACCCAAAAATTGAGTGGTACATTAGCTTGCGTTGCGGYATCCATCCTTTCTGTTTGTATCCATCAGGTTTTTAAAAGCAGGTGCAAAACACTCAGTGAAAACAGAGCCAGAGGTTTGAAGTCAATGAGACTCATTTTCTARGCCACATGAAGAGCGGTACAAGCCCTAGACTGGTAAGGGAGACTGGAAAAATATACAAAGGATTCATCTATACAGGATTGATCAATACACCTTACCTTCTTATACAAAAAATCTAAGACAGCTGTAAGTTTTTCCAGGTTTTCCAATATGCAGTCCTTCTGTAAATGAGGAGAGAAACGCTATCAAAATTAGTAGAAAAAACAAAGTTTTGCATTTCCTAGAAGTCACAGTTTTGCATTTCCTTGTGTATTGAGTTGTGTACTGAAGGGTTATTAAGAACCACTCTATTCTAAATTCAGCCTTAGCCAGCAAGAAGTACATAACATGAGAAATAATCTTGTAATTTAACTGCCTATAAATAGACAACATGACATATGTTAAAAAAGGACAGGGATATGGAAGAAAARTATCTTTATACATGAAGGTGTAAAACAGTTATTCTACTAAGACATCTCAAATTTGGGATGGCAAATTAAGTACAGATTATTATATACACAAAACACCTTATGCACCAGGAGCTTGCATCAGTGCATAGAGGCATCCCAACATCCCAGACCTAACTACTATTTTGGTTCACTGTAGCAGAGAGCAGAGTATGGGAAAGTGTCTTTACTCTCCTTGACCACGAAACCACCTCACAAAGCACTTACCAGTTGGGTGGAAGCATAGGAGGAACATGGGGTTTCAGCACTAAAAAACACTRTGATCAGTTTCCAATCATTTTGGAAGTCCATCATCTGGGAGAGAAAAATAAAGGAATAGATGATAGGTGTTCTATTTGCTATTTTCCTTTCTTATGCACAAATGGGTGTGGCTTCAAAACCAGTGAGACCAAGCAGTAGCACACAGCCCAACTCTGGCTAGCCTAAACCCTTCCACTTGACAAGCCATTCAGTTTTCCCTAGAGGAGACAGCAASTGGATGGTTAGGCATCAAGTATTGCAATTAAAGCTGAACACACACCTGCAAAAAGCTCAGGATAGAGCCTGAAATTGCTGTTGAGACTCTATTGGAAAAGACAGGCAAGGACAGCTTAGCACAGAACTTGATGTTGCCTCTTTCCATTACAGTTGGAGCTTGCCAACAGAATTACTGTACCTGAACTGCTAGGAAGGGGTCACACTAGAGGGACAGAGACTAGAATAAAAAATATGAGAGCTAGAGCCATGCTCAGCTGTGCTATGTTTATTAGGCAATTCTTGACAATCCTGAAGAGCCTTGGTTAGAACCATACAGTTTCACAAACATATAGGCTAAATTCCTGCAGAGCAAAGAGGCAACAGCGGAATTGCTTTGGCAATTACATTTTCCCATTATTTCAAGATGAGTTTACAAAATGCCTCATGGTTAAGAATAAGAGAGAAATGAATGCTTAAAGCTCCAGGATGGGATTTAAAAAGCACTCAGCCATGAGCAATAATTCAGGCTCTCACCAGCATCAGCCAAAYTATATCTAGGTCTTTATTGTCCTTTTTGAAAATATGTTCCTAAAAGACCAAAAAAAGGAACTGAAGAGACAAATACTGAGAATTATTATTTTGGGTTGGCTTCTCAGAAACACTGGCACAGTTACAGAGTGTAGCTAGCAGAAGTCTCACAGCTTTAGCCAATAGAAAGCAAACATACTGGCTTCCCTACCAAGATCTTCAGATGCTTTGACAAAAGTAAAAAAGATGGCATACGTTCTAGAACAAAACTCTGCACTTGAAAGGCACAGAGTTGATTCTTATTTACAAAAAAGGACTGATGTCYGTTAACTTTGAGAAATGGAGTTTTCTGTTTTGAATTTTGAGTGCTGTTTAAAGTATTAAATCACTTTTCTGCCTTTTTCTGCTTTAACACCATGCTTTCTGAAGTGTCCTGTGCTTTAAACAAACCTGTTCCTCTTCCATGAGCTTCACTATTTCTTCAGCTTGATGCAGGAGATCTCTGAAAAGCAGAAAGGAATAGAGAAATTATGAGGGCATCAGTAAGGAGAAAGCTTTGGCTGATTTTCACCATTGAATAAAACAGCATTAGAAGATTTGGATTGGATTCATCATTTCTGTCCTAAATGTGTTAGTATTAGACAATTGACTGTGCTTCTCAGAGAGCTTTGTGTGATTAGTTCATATCCAGCTATCTCACCTCCAGATATGTGCACTTAGATGAAAACAGCAGGCACAGCTTGGTAGGCACACCTCAACCTCTATTTGGTTGAGCCAAAAATTTGATTTGCAGCTATAAAGAGAACTAATGTTGAGTCAGGTGATCCAGACCCCAAAGGTGGGCTTTATTTTTCCTGACTCTGAGAGATGGCAATAGAGCCACAATTGTTAGGGTCTGTCCCTAGAATGCCAGTACAGTTTCTGCCAATACTGAGCATATTCTGGTGCCCAGTAAAGTGCCCCAGAATCAGATTTCCACCTTCCCCTTGCCAGCTGTACATCAGCTGCCCAGCCAAAAGCCCCTCAGACTTACCTGGCTTGACTGYCTGGTGTCACTCCCGCTGTGCCAGGGGCAGGGGACAGATGTAGAACCGAGGGGTTGAAGGTGCTGATGAAAGCTGAATGACACACACAGGTTAGGTGATTTCTGCATCCAACAGACTGCTACTCTGCTGATTCATTAAACACAACAGAACTAAAACAGCCAGAACGTGTAAAGTCTGAGGATTTCTTGGCAAGCATGAGAGGTATGCCCAAGTCCCTCTGCAGCTGTTCTTGGTTTTGTTCCTCACCTTCTGAAGTGAAGGCCTGATGTCTGAATTTGCCCCCAGACATGGGTCAGAAATCTCCATCCCCATGTCTCGTGTCAGCTACAAGTAGTGTAGGTGGACTTAAATACAGCTGTAGAAATTAAGCTACTGGGAAGGGCCACCCAGAGAGACTCAAGAAACACCAATGAGTTGCCATGTTTTAAACCCCTTTCACAAGGACATGGATGTGACACCAAGGAGTTAAGACACCAGGAAGATGATCTGGAGGGCAGGACCCTGGAGCTATACATTACTTAGCATTTCAGGGGACATGTAGGTTTTACTTGTAATGGCCTTTAAGCAAGTAAAGGCTGCCTTTAGAAACAGCCAATAGATGATGAATTCACTGATGTGGTGCATCTATGGCAGCCCTRGTGCAAATCCTAAGCACATGGCAGTGCAGGACAGGCAAACCTACACAAGATTTCACCAGGCCAGCATGGGCCACAAGCACACACCAGMAGAAACYGTATAGTGGATACRAATAGCAGGCCAAGAGCCCCACTGSGCATTTAAGAATCTTGCAGCAGTCTCACACCTCCTTCTTCACCGCTGTTTGTCTCCCCAGATGGGCTTTTTAAAGCCAGAACAGATAACCCAGGCTGGCTGTACTCATGTCCCCRGGTACACCATCCCTCAGGCTTCCCCTACACCCCTGCAGTGTGCCTGTGCTGCACCTGCTCTGCAGCCCAGCAGAGCCCTGGAGTTCCTGCCATCAAGCTGTTAAATTAATTTGCTGAAGTTTTAATGTGACAGCAAGACGCACCTGCTAAAGTTTCCATGCTTAGTTCAAGGAAGTTCTTTCCTGTGCTATAGAAAGGGAAGAGAAAACAGGAAGTTCCTTTTATTCYGCTTCTCAAAGAAAAATTATATTACAGCACAGCCCCAATTTCTTATTAGTTATGCTACATCTCAGAGTGTAAATTCATGGCAGCTGCTGCAAGTAAGAATGGGGCCTTTCTTTCCCCAAAACTGTCATGTCATCAGCTACTGCTGAGTAAGAACATAGTCTCAGATCTCAAATTTTTGTGTCTTTGTACACCCTGTATCTTGCAATACTTAGCTTGGTTATACTCAGCTACAAGTGATGCAGGGGCCTCTCCATGAATACCCACACACAAGTGAACACAGATGTTTATGCAACCATTAAAATAATTTAGCCTTTTAAAGTTTATCTGCGCAGGACTAAAACCTCATCCGGAATGCTATGACTCAAAAGACCTGCACAGACTTGCAGCTACAAAGTTTTGTCATATTCACTCACTGATTTAGATCTGCTAAGGGCACATGGAAGAAGAACATGGGGTAAAGTTCGTCCATGAAGGACTGGGAATCAGCAAAGCAGAGGACAGGATWTCTGGACTCCTGGGCTCTTTCTTTGCTCTGATAAATCCCTGCTTTTTGGTCTCTAACTAGTGAATTATAATATTTACTACCTAAGCAGCAATGATTCTTAACCAAGGTTATTGCAACCCTAAGGTAGTTCTACATCCTGCCTAAGTACAAAGAATGTSTGCTGCCGAAGGATAGAGAAAGTTACAGTGTCTCAAAATCCTTTATATTTTACCTAGACCTTTTCYTCCTCTCTAGAAAGAAAAAAAGTATTGCTTGGGCCTAACTGCTGCACTGTGATACCATAGAGATTAGGATAATGGTACTTATATAAYCTAAATATTTATTGTTACCTTTGGAGTAAATCCTCACCAGATCCTGGTGTCTGTGAACAAAGAAGCAACRAAAGTAATATTGAGCAAAGTGTAAACTAGACCTACATATGCTGTTTCCCCACCATATTTCACTCCTGTTTGAGTTTCTACTCTTCTCCATTGTGTTGTAATCACTCCCAGACTTAAGCTGTTTTCCAGCATTTCCCCTATTAGAGTGTATTTTCATAGTCTGGTAATCCTTTCTTATTTACTGCTTTCACTAACGATTTTTTAACATATGGCTTAAAAAAAAATTGACTAATTGAAACCAAATTCCATAAAATGAATGGTGCTCTAAACCAAATTTCTCTGGATCTACTTTTACTCCTTTTCAACAAGGGACATGACCTGAAGTAATTTAGATAATTTGTCTGTCTGTCACTCAGACAGAAGGGTGTGTTAAAAAAAGCACCTTAACGTTGATAGAGGAACATCACTGATTTCAGAGAGTTTGAAGAGGAGACGGTGACAGAGATGTTTGCTCTAGGAAAGCAAACATTCCTTAAAAAAACTATTATTTACATGACTCCAATGACTATCAATTTTTGCTCTACAGACCTTTCTACACTTTCTCAAAGCTCAAGAATTGTGGTTAAATGCTTTTAATTGGGCCTCAAATCTATTTCAGATATCCAATTCCTACTATTGAGACAAAGGAAGTTTATTCAAATCTGACTACATTATAACAGGCAGGAGAACTTTACCCACTGGTCTACATATCAGAATCATATCTTGTGATTCTAGACCTTCTGCCTTTTACATAGGAAACCAATCTCTACAGAAAACACTTTATGAAGTGGAAAATCTACTGCATTTCTCAATAATTTGTACTTGTTCCAGTTAGACTTTTCCCAGCATCTTCCAGTTATTCACTCTGTTATGCTCATTGTTAGGAAAATCCATGAACTCTAATCAAATATCATGGTTCTCTGCAAGAGCACTGTGATCACATTTCCTCCTGCACGAAGTCAGTTGTCTAATTTTAGACTCAGGTTATACTGGAACACTGAACAGCAGGTATTTCCAGTCATTTTTTCAGCAGAAGTCTTTGATGTTTGTGGAAAGATTCAAGTCCTGAACACCCCAGCCGAGACTCCAAACTACATCATCAGCTGACTTCATCGTCACAATGGAGGAAATGGGTCACACTCAGCACATTTCCCTCTTGTACTTACTCTTTGCAAACTTCCTATTGCAGTGACTGCTTTAATGTCAGCTGGCCTTAGAGCATGAACTGCAGAAAAGCAAAAGACTTAAGGTTGCAAAAAAAAAAAAAAAAACCCCAAAACAGTAACCCTAAAAGAAAGCTACATTCATCAGGATATTAAAACATAACAAAGTTGGCTAAAATGTGAGAAGTCTATAACGATCGCTTTGATTGGAAGTTTTAAATTAGTCAGAAAGGATGAGAAATTTTAGACAGGTATTCAGAGGCACTGAAATGCTCAACCACCAAGCAAGAAACAATCAAAAAACACTTCTGGGAATAGTGTTAGTAATAGATCCCAAATTATCAGCTGTAATAGATCCCAAATTATCAGCTGAAGAAACAAAGGTAGAAGAGTAATCATTAAGTGGAGCAAAAAACTAACGAGTTTGTAGAGCCTAGCTCCACTTCAGTCAATACCATAAACATGAATCCCTGCAAACAGCTGATTTCTGCCCAGCCCACTCTCAAATAATTTTTTGGGGGAAAGTCTCTGCAGAGACAGTATGAAACACAAACCTGAAGATGGAGGGGTCTCAGGGAGCATCACCTGCTCACATGAAAACTGCAAGCTTCTTAGAGCCTTTGACATAAACAAATAAATGTGGTTGATTGCTTAGATCTAACAAGGAAATTTGTGGAATGAGGTTCTCACAGAGAACCAAGATTTTACTCATGTAAACAAAGAACAATGACACCTCTGTTATAAATGGGAACARAGATCWGGACAGCTGCATTTTCAATTAACTMTTCCAAAACTTCACACTTTCTGCTTGATTTTCTTACTGATTGCCACAGAAATTGGGCCTGAGCAATGAAATGTGCTGAACACATCCTTTGCTTTACATCCATTGCTACAATGGCTGCTTAAACTGGAAGARGTCATAAGCACAGCTACTGCAGGCATCTCTACATGCTGAGGGGCACCCAACTGACACAACAAATATTACATCTCTAATATGCAACAGGAAAGGCAGAATGAACCAATTCTGGCCCCTTAACAATGGGYAACACCTGGCCAGGTGATCAGAGAAGGCAAGAATGAGAGTGATGTTATTGCTTCAATGTGAGAGACAGTTCAGTACCAGYAGGAACTTCATTTAATGCCACCCCACATCCTTACAGTAGGCATGACCCAAGATTGAGTGTCATGAAAGGCAATCCCCACCCCTGCCCTGGGTGACTTGGCATGGGCTTCCCTTATCACAAGGACCATGAGTGGCTGGCTGACCATCATCAGTACCATGAGGTGAAATCTGTATTGTGACAAGGGCCACCACTGCCCACACACACTCCCCAGAGYGCAGCTGGAGGATTTTAATGGTGCAGACACTTCACACCCTTATAAAGCAAGGGAGAGTTTAATCCTGTGTTTCTAAAAGAGCAACAGAGCATCTAGGAACAAGTGCTAACCACAAACGACCTACGTACAGGATATGCAACCTAATAACAAACATTGCTYGGAGAAAACCTCATTTCCTGATTATGTTCTGTAATCTTGCAGCTGCGCTCTCACATTGCCGACTCATTCGCTTTGCATTTCTTCTTTGCAGAAGCAGTTTAGAGCAACAAGCTGTATCTTTCTTCTGCCTGCCTCCRAAGAGGCAACAGCCTGATAGGCAATAACAGGTATTGAAAGCAGGAAAAAAAAAAGGAAGCTGTATTCATACTTTACCTCTAGTCCCCCAAATTCTTCCAGATGATCTGCATTACCTTAAAAACATTAAAGAAAGAGTTATGCTAAGTTTTTTTACCTTAGGAAAAAAAGCTTCATAAGACTTAATATACCTAAAAGCACAGAATCCTGAGAGGAGATACCTTTCTCATCTGCCCTACTTTCCAAAGCAAGTAGGCTCATCCCAACAACCAAATGTACTTTCTTTGGTTTTGCAATACTAGAATGAGCTTTTTTTTTTTTATTATAAGCAGGTGAGAGCTGTTGAAATTAGGGTAATGCAATGTATTTATAGGAACAGGTGATTAACTGCTTGTAGGTCCCCCCAAAAAACCCCATCCTCCACGGGCCTTCTCTACCTGTTTTCCTCTTCAGCACCTTTCAGATACTGCTGTAGTCTTAATCAGTCCAAACTGAGATTAATTTGAACATGCACAAGGAGAAACTCCTTARAAAGGGGCATTAATCTACATCTTCCAGAGTCAGGGAGCAGCATGACACTGTTGTGAGTTTGCCATAGTGACACAGAAACAGCTGCAATTTCTTCTCCTAGAGTGTTGGCAGGCAAAAGAGCCTGTGGAGCCAGGAKTCGGGCCTCTGGCTGTTTCAGTAAACATTATTCTCTTTTCTTGAGTATAAACTTCCATTTACACACACACAGATTTCAGTTTATTCTAAAATTTCCACAAAGCTAGCCACAAAGCCTATGTGAGCTGTTCTTGCTTGCCACACTGAAGCCATCAGCATCCAAMAGTCTTATGCAGAATTAGGATAACTGTCCTTTAACATGCAGGAACTATTTTTGGAATATTGAGCCCTGCTGAGTACTTCTGGCTTGTACTCCTTTCCTTCCCTGTCAATGACAGAATAAGAGCAGAGCCTGCTCAGCCCAGCAGGTGAGACATCCTTGGGTGTAGGGCAGCCAGCAGTGCTCACGCTGCAAGGTGATGTGCCTGGTACAAGCAGAGGGCACCGGGCAGCCTCTGGGGACATGGCTACCTGTGTATACAGGTCAGTGAGGTGACACAAAGCCACCACTGCTACCCACGACCATCTCAGCCTGTCACCTGTGCCACATGTGACCATATTCAATAAATGTCAGCAACTTCCATTTGTGGGTTTTTCCCCTACTTGGGTTTCAGCCATGAGCTATTTGAAAAACTGTTTTATTTTTACAGTACTTTGTAAAAGGTTGAGACAGTGGCCACCTGGCTGTTATGTGACATCTTCTTTAAAATTTCTGCCTGTTCAGTCTGTGTTTTTGATGATGCCTTACTCAAGRCAATAGYCAACACACAAACACTSTTTGGGATACTGGAGYCAAAAGCCATGAGGGACTTAYGTGCACCACACAAATCTACTGCAGAAACTCAATATGTGAGAATTTTAACCCTAATTTCAACTACATTTGAGTTCCTTAGGTTACACTGACAGAGAAAGAGATTCCATTTCCAATTTCCAGGATTCAGGGAGTTGGGGGAACAGTTTTAGTGTGTCAGACTGAAAGTCTATCCAGTCTGGAATTTTGCCTCTGACAGTATCCAAATGCAGATGTTTAGGCAAAGAATAAGGAAAATACAGTTATACTTTCATTTTCTATCCTTCCAATCATCCATACTACTATGCTCCCTGAGCAAGCAATTACTTAATGTTAAAGAATTCCTTGAGATCTTTTTTCCATGGATTTGCCTATTTGTTTTTCTAACACTTTCACACTTTTGGCTTCCTCCAAGTCTTGTGGCAACGGGTGCTTCATCATTTAATTACATGTTAAAAAAAAGGACTTCTCATTTGTTAATAACCTGATCTGTTTCCTTGTTGTTTTGTAACGAGTAGTCATTCCCTTGTTTCTGCAGAGTTTGCCATTTTGCATGTGCCTGTATGTCTTTATCATATACCTATCACTTCTTTTTCCAGACTGAATAGTCCATTTCTTTGATCTCATGTTGAAGTTTATTCACAAGTCTGACCACTCTCCCCCTTTATTCTCCTCCTAGGTTTTGCCACATYTATTTTGAGAAGAAAAATCCAGACCACTGTCAAGATCAGGTGAATCATGGCCCTGCACACAGCAGCAGCAATGTGGCTTTTATGTTGTTCTCCCCCTAACTCCTGAAATAATTTGTTTCTCTGACTATCACTATCATTGATGCCTTCAGACGGTTGTGTTCTGGAGTCAAGCAGCACCTATTTCACCACACCAGATACACAGATAAGAGTAATATRTAACAGGAAAACTTGGACTAAGTTTTCATTCTGAACATCCTGAATAGTTTTGCAKCAGCAAGTTAGARTCCACCCTTATCCAGATCAATTCTAAACATGCACAGAGCCCACATCCCAACAGAGATCAATATGAGCATCACAGTTAATAAAATGGGCATGGTTGTATTTCTGCTTGGCTCACTCCCTTGGGTGGGTATCATCTAATCCTGGCAGTTCTTTTACTGTTTGTCATCAGTTTGCTCAAGGATTTGACCGCTATTCCTCTTGTCCCCTGTGCTGAAACGCTCACAGTGCAAGGTCTTKATTAAGCTGTTATGCAAGGACACCAAAGAAAAAAAGAATTTGTGAGGCTTCAACCTTCTTTTATACATCAGTCAGTCCTACAGACTCCATGTTTCCGAAGAATTTGAGAAAGGATTTTTTGGTTTTCATTCCTTCAACAGTGATTCATTKTTTCTCTTTGGATTAATTTTTGGCTTGGCTGATTAAATTTTAACCTCTTCAGTTTTCTTAGTTTGTTTTGGATTTACACTTTCCATAGGATGACTTATCAAASTCCTGCTACTCCCAATATTTTAGTTACTCCCTTACTCTACCCTTGAATAATTCTAACTTGTATTTTCAATTTTCTTGACATAAAAAGGAAGTATTATTMAGATAACTTTCCTAAAATTTGGGAGAAACATTCTAACTCCTTCCTCCCTTGCTCTTACAATTAATCTGTTTCAAAAAACAATTCTTATAAGCTGCTATCAATCAACCTTTTTTTTTTCCTGAGTGAAGTTTTCAGAGGAACTGCAGCCACCCTGCATATTTCTCCCTACAGTAAAAGGCTGAGACGTGATAATTTCTTCTGATTACTTTAGGAACCAAAACCTCGTAACAGTTAATTATTTATCAGAGCACTTTATAACCCTCTGGAGATACTGATCATCACGCACTACTGCAAAGGGAAAGCACTATTACTGGTTATTGTTATTTTCTTACAGGCAGAGAACTGAAGCACAGAGCAATAAAACTAAAACATACACAGCATTTTCAGTCTTGAGCACCTAAAAAACTGTCATTGGCACCAAATGTAGACCTCAGAGACCCAGTATGGGGAAYAAAGGCTCCCACCTACCCTGAATATTACAGAAATCTGAACAATGYCTTGAACGTCAGGATGCTGCCTAACCATTCACATAATCTTCTATCAGTGAAGATTATCATAGTTATGTATTCAGAGAAAATCTTTGTCCCTTGCCTGAATTTCTGCACCATTTTGACACAGGTGTCACTGCTAGACATCTCTGATTATTTGGTGATGTTTTTTCTCACCAGAAAGCTTTAGTGCCTAAGACACCATCTATCCCCAGAATAGTGCAACTCAGTGCATACATCTTTATGAAAAAAAAATGATCAAACATAACCCAAACTGCATTTAAGATTACAGTTTTACTCACAGATTTTCTTCATCCTGCTTCTAAAACTCCTGCTGTACACCCACCTTGCAACAACCAGAAACAGAGGCTTCCAAATACTGTGCAATGCAAATTTTCAAAGGGCCTTTCAAAACTTACCTTCTGAGAAGAGCAACCAGAGGAACAGCACACCTAACAATAGCTTCATGGTAACCACTTCTATGAATTGATAATCCTGGAGTGCTGCCTGTTAGGTGTTAAGGCTGTGAAGAAAGAAATTTCCTTCCTTTTTCTCCTTTATATCTTTCAAGTTGATAACTCAGCAGCCATAAAACTTATTAGCTTCTACCTTTGGAAAGCAAAGTGGAGATGATATCTCRTTTCATTGCCCATCCAAGGGTCAAAGAAGGGGCACAGCTTCTCTCTCTTGTTCAGTGAGAGCTGGCCATTTTTCAGGGGAGTTCTCAGCAAATCCAAGGACCAAGATCACATGAGTCAGCTTCCAGCAGGGTCAAGGCTCTTCCAGGCAATACATAACACATTAGTTTGGCATTAGCATGCCTCTGCCTGGAAGGGAAGGAGCCTCTGCTCCTGAGGGAAGAAGGACAACTGAACCCTATATAGCAGCCCACACCCACCCAAAGAGGAAGGTTTTGCTCTTCCTTTCGTCTCCTTCCCTACCTGTGCTCCTTCCTTGCCTTCAACCACACTCATGYTGTGCCTGTTTTTCTTCCACTAGTTCCTCTTCTGGCAGATTTTCTTTCACTGGGTGATGCCTCACCAGTATTTGCCAAGACAGCAGTGTCAGACAAGCAGGGTCAGTGAACCTGCCCTAACACTGCACAGGTCTTCAAACCCCTTTCTATGACACTATTACAGTAGCATGGTCACTTCTGCAGAATCAAAGAGCATGCAGAAATGCCAGCTAGACTGTGATACAACACTCTCCAGTGAGACTACAACTATGCCTCAATTACAGTGTCAGGGTCAAACCTCTGAAGAGCGGCTTGCTGTCCTCACACAAAACAACAGAGTGAACTTTAGCCTCTTCCGAGCCCACTGACACCCCAGAAACAGCTCCTACATGAATAATGGGAGTCTGCTTAAGTAAATAGCTTTAAATGCTTCAACAAGCCATTAACACAACCCAACAAACCCTCATCCTTCAAAGGGCTTTTTTTTATTTATTTTGGCTTTCTTTTTTTTCATGGCTGAAACTTTACATTCTTTGAAAGAACATGCCAGGGGTAGATCTTCTGCTCATTTCACTTTTCAAAAACCAGGAATGCTATATTAATTCTGAACATGAACAGCTACTGTTCAGAGCAACATGCAAGGAGGAATGTGCATAGACAAGGGAAAGCATTCCTCCACCCCCTGAATCTTCAACCTCAACCCAGCAAAAACATTYCAACACAAGGGGCTTCTCACCTCAGACATAGCTGCATGTTCAAGCCTGAAAGGCACGAGCTCATTCTACTTGAGRGTCCCACAACCTGAAACACCGTTTCACACCCAAATTCCTTTGACCGGTACGGTAATGAAAAATTAGAAGCCTGCTCAATGTCAGGGTGCAGCACCACACCAGCAAGCCTTGCCTGGGCTGAGCCGCAGTGGAACGCCCAGGCACTTGGTCAGAATGAGAGAGGTTCAAGTGAGGCTGCTCAGGGCCATTATCACCTCTCAATCTCAGCATGGATGGGAGTTACCTTTGGTGGGTTTCGTCATTATAGACAAGGGTTTGTGGCTRCTTCACTCCTCAAGGGGAAGTTCTCACTATTGGCAAGTCTGAGAAACAGATTTCTYAAAGAGCTGGAAGTGTTTAAAATCCCAGAAAGTCTCTTCTTCATCATATACCACACAAAACATGAAAAGGAAGGCAGCATTAATTTATTCATTTGCCATAAACCACAAATCCAAGAGCAAATTTAGCCTTTAAACACTGACATGCTCCAGAAGCAAAACAGCATAAACTTCAAGGCTTGTAAATCTCTYGTAAACACTCCTTCCCACCACTGAAGCATCAAAATAGCTCCTACATTGAATAGCAAATAACAAGTGGCAGCAAAGATCAAAAGTTTGCAAAAGGGAGAAGAGAGAATTCATTTTCTGTTAGATGTAGAAGGTGTCAGAAACAAATTAAAGCTTTTACATTACTGCAATGGSAAAGCTAGATGCAGCTACAGAAGACAAGGAGAATTCCAGATTGTAAATCAACCCTCAGCTGATGGAATTTAGGAACACAGTAGGGAACTTCAGCCATGTAGCTGATTACCTAATGTTCAACAGAGTCTTCTCTAAAGTGCCTGCTGCTGCTCAGGTGAGACTACAGGACCTGGTAGTGAACCCTGCCTGAATGGTGTGAGKCTTATTGTCACTTGCCCAGGGTGGAGAGGGCTCATAACACCACTGGCATGGAACAGCTTTGCAGGRGAGTTGGTGGTGAAGAGCAGAAGTTTTGTGCCTTGACATGTTCCTGAGCAAAGGACCTGTTTCACAGGTCTACACCCAACAGYGCAAAACACCACAAAAACAAAAGCCAAGTCCCAGTTACAGTTTTAAAGTAAGCAACACCCAAACAGATACTCAAACACAGGTGCTAAAGCATATTAGCCAAACTCTTTGGTTCATTGCTACATTTTTAGTTGACTTATAATATACCTAAAGCTTCACCTTTCATACCTGGTGTGGGAGCTACAGTTGGGAAAGCCATGGGATTTTTTTTAGCTTGTCTCTTAAGTTTT